GCCGGCCAGCAGCTCGGGTTTGGCAACCCAGCTTTAGCACTCGGCCACGGGGTCTTCGGGCAGACGGCCTTCGGGCAGGCCCCGCCTTCGGGCAGTCGACAAGCAGCCCCGCCAGCAGCTTCTCCTTCAGTCAGCCTGGCTCAGCTCCGGGTCCGCCTTTGGGCAGTCCGCGTCCTCCCCTTCCACGTCCACCAGCGGGAACGTCTTTGGTGCCTCTTCGAGCGCCAGTAGCTCCATCTCTTTCTCTTTCGGCCAGTCTTCTGCCAACACCGGCGCGGGGGTGTTCGGCCAGAGCACCCCGCCTGCGTTTGGGCAGAGCCCAGGCTTTGGACAAGGAAGCTCTGTGTTTGGTAGCACCTCGGCCACCACCACGACAGCATCATCCTCTGGGTTTAGCTTTTGTCAAGCGTCAGGTAAGAATATATGGAAGATTTTTATCTTATTCTCTTCTGTAGTATTTGAAACATTTGCAACAAACCAGTACTGCCTTTGTAATTAAAGGGAAAACCAAAAAAAAACTGAAGTCCAGAAGGGAGTGAGGGTGCTGTTGTCTAGGGAACGCCTTTGGCCCAGTCACTGTCGGTCCAGTTCTGCTTCTCAGCAAGTTCTCTCCTATCCTAGCCACCAGGGTGCCAATTTCATGGGTAAAAAAAAAAAGCTTAAGGTCAGCAAGTAATGAGTGACTCAGAAATAGGAAATTTTTAAGTCAGAGGCACTTTGGAGGTCATTATGCCCAAACTGTCAGGCGGTAGACAGACCGATCCCTGCAGTGAGTGCTTGCAGACCAACACTGCACCGCTCCTCCCAGGCCACGCCCTGCCAGCCGGCTGCTTCCTCCACTCAGTCTTCCCACCAGAGGGCAGATACTGACATTTGAAAAGTTTGGTCTTTTCTGTTTTCAAAGTTGTAATTTTTTTAAAAAACCCAAATCTTAAAATATTTAAAAGTAAAACATAATTCTCTCTATTGCTTATCTAATTTTAGCAGCTCCTTTTACTTCTAAAAGTTAGTAATAGGCAGACCAATTTGAAAATCTTTTCCTAAGCTTCTGATAGTTATCTTATGAAAGGCAGTTCTTCCTGGAGTAGGCTCTGGGGGGGAACAAGGATTGTTGATTTCTTGGTGGGCAGGAACTGCTAACTCATTCCTTTGGTGATAATTTATTTGAAAATGGTTCCTAGTTTTTTAGAAAGGAAATCTTTTCTTGTCTTTCTTCAACAAATGTCTGTTGATCTCCCACTACATTTGGCTACAAGGACACATTGTGAAAGACAGTTTTAAAACCCACCTGATGGCCTGTGGAGAGGCCAGGTGGCCGATGGGAGTGATGGGAAATGTGATAATGTGGCCTAGAGATGGGCAGGGAAGAGGCCCTGTGAGTCTCAGAGGGAGTCGGTGTTTAACACTATCTCTGGTGCATCCTTTGTTCAGTCAACACTTGAGAGTCCCTCATACACACTATGATCAAACTACCTCATCATGATCACAAACCTCTGAAGAATCTTCTTTCACACAGTAGCTACGGATTGGTCCCTGGGCAGTCCCTCCACCCCGGGCAGGAAGGGAGACTGCCTGAGCTCCCCGCCTCGACCAAGGACAGAAATGAGAATGGAACTCCTGTACTCTATTCCTTACAGGGCGCCTGTGATAACATAGAGCGCTGCCTGGTCTTCCCAGTCCCTGCTCAGCCCAGCCCCCAACCATGTTGTGCCACTCCGCAGAAAGATAAACTGCCCGGGATGGATCTGGTCTTTGAGGTTGGAGGAAACCAGGGAGCAGAAATGTTCATCACGTTCAGTCATTGGGAAGACTTGTTGGTAGTGAAGTCTAGGGAACAGCTGCTCTGAGGGTACCTTCTTGGTGCCTACCCCCTGGGGTTCAGTAGAAGGCAGGATTCAGCCCTTGAGAGTTTGGAATTTATACTATTGTAAAGTGTTAGCAATGCAAAACGATCCTTATTTACAAATCAGTTTCTTCATTTCCTAGATAGGAAGCCAGATTTTATTCATGGGTTGATTTATTGTTGGTTATCTTAGCATACCTAAAAGCCATTCTAAAAAACAAAACAAAACACCACTTGGATGTTGTAAAAGACTTCCAATTTAAACTTTTGTTTTCTTTTTCTTTTGCAGGTTTTGGGTCCAGTAATGCTGGTTCTTTGTTTGGTCAAGCAGCCAATACTAGTGGGACAGTGTTTGGCCAGGTAAATATGTATGTTCACCCCTTTCATGTCAGCTACACCCACCCCGTCCTCGTCCGTCCCTGCATGTACTTTAGTCAGTTTGTGTTGCCCACCTAACCCCAGGAAGCAGCCTGTGTGCTTCTCAAGCCCCGCCTTCTTAGCTCACTTAGGGACACAGAAGTCTCAGCCTCTGATTCAAGAGAATCACCACAGTTTTCATCCTTCTTTGAAAGCACATTGCCTGATTTCCATCCATCTTCCACCTGCTCTGTTAGGCCAGGGGTTGGCAAACGAGGGCCATGGATTAAACCCGCTCCTTGGCCTTGATTTTTGTTTTTTTGTGTGTATTTTTTAAGGTCATTGACCTAAGAACAGTTGTTACCTTTTCAAATGGTTACTTAAACAGAAAGAAGGAAAACAGGCTCCTTTTGGTGACCTAAGCTATTTCAGTGTGTACAGCTAGTGGTTATCTGTGCTGGGCTTTATACAATTGACTCCTGTGGTCATTAGTACTTCTGAAGGCACATGCTGTGACTGTCCTCACAGGACAGGTGAGGACACTGAGGACCCAGCGAGGCTGCTGCTTTTAGATCACTGCACCCGCATCAGGAGGCCTTCTGAGGAAAGGCACTCGGACCGATTGGAAATGACTGTGACTTTCTGAAGGGGGTTGTATTATCCATAGTTCATCAAGTGGTAGGCACATTCTTTGTTTTTGTACATCTTCAGTAAGAGATTTTCTGTATCGTCTTCTTCCTTTGAAGACGGAGTCCTGGCTCCAGTCAGGGATCCTTGGCAGAGAGAAGTGAAACCTCTAAGCTCCGGTTTCTGGTGATGGCGGTTAGAGCATTCAAATCACGCTCCCACGGAAAACAGCTAAAATACTGGGTGAAACCACAGTTTTTAAAGCACTAATAAGCTGACAGGGTGTTTTGCCACGTTGAAAGAAAAAGGGCACCTCTGGAAGTGAGTGGAGCACAGAACCCAGTTTTGCCCTGAGAGCATTTACTACTATAATTTGAATTTCCTATTTTAGTAACTGGGAAGGCTACAGGAGCAGAAATCACTAACCAAGCTCTGCACAAAGTGAAAGGCCTCAGCAAGAGGGTGGCCTGGCGTGGTCCTGGGAGGGTGGTGTCTGCAGGTGCATGGCAGAGCAGCAGACACTGAAGAAAAGTAACTTTACTCTCGGCCTCAAATCATTAAATTTATTAAAGCACAGTTAGCATACAGTATTATATTAGTTTCATAGTGATTCAGCGTTTGTCTATCTTACAATGTGCTCACCACACTGAGTCTAGAAACCATCTGTTACCACATAAACTTGTCACACTATTATTAGTTATATTCTCCTCATATCAAATAACTTCTAAGGACACTGATTTCCATGCCTAAATTAGTCATAAAGGGAAGCAAGGAATTATGATCAAGAATAAACGTCAGACATACATTTGCAAAGACTTCCTAGACTGTAAAACAGCTGTGTTTTACATGTTTAAAAGAAATGCAAGACAAACTTGAAAGTACCAATAAAGAATAGGAAATTGCAAGAAGTGTCATAGCAGCTTTGAAAAAGAACCAAATAGAACTTACAGAAAAATAGAACAAGTAAAATTTAATACCAACAGATTAGACCCAGGTGAAGAGAACAGTCATATACTAGACCAGGGGTCAGCAAACTTCTGTGAAGCACCAGGTAGTAAACATTTAGACTTCGAGGGCATGATATGTTTTCGTAAAGCTTCATTTACAAAAACACAACAGATTGGATTTGGCCTGTGGACTATAGTTGACTGACCCTTGAACTAGAAGGTAAGTCAGATTAAGTTATCTGGTCTGCTTCATGAAGAACAAAGAAAAATGGAAGATGCAAAAGAAAGTAAAAATCCTAAAAGAGGAAATCCAAAATACATTTAATCTGAAGGAAGAGAAAAAAAATACATGGTGATATTAGAAGAGAAAAAGACAGAAATTTGAAAACAGTAAGTCACAGATTCAGAAGTCAGACAAATGCCAACCAGAATGTATAAAAGAAAATTGATTCCAAGATCTATCATAGTTAAGCTGCAGAATTACGGAAATGTTAAAAATACTCAGAGACAAAAAGACAGGTTACTTTCAAAGGAGTTGGACTGACAGCTCACTTCTCGGCCGTGACAAAGCCAGAGACAGTCTACCTAGCAAAAAATATCTTTATAGGATGTCATGGAATCAAAGCATTTTTTCAGACAGATACTGAGAGAATCTATGCCTAGAAGGCTTCAAGGAAATTCTAAAGAAAATTAGGCAGAAGGAAAATCTGACCTCATTAAAATGACAACTTTCTTAATTTTAGTGTAAAACAAGCCATGAACCGGGAAAATTGTAGCGTATAGGACCAAAAGAATAATTGTGTTCAGAACATATAAACAGTACAAATCAAAAAGAAAAGACAACTATACCGCCACCAACATGGCTAAAATGGACAGGGCTGACAATACCAGTGTTGGTGAAGGCGGAGAATGACCAGGAGCACCCACGTGTTGCTAACATGGGGTAAATTACCCTTTGAAAACCGTCTGGTAGTATCAAGATTAGATACACAAAATCCCTGTTGGACCAGCAAATCCACTTCTAGGCGTGGAGCCGATGGGAATGAGTGCCTTTGTTCAGAGCATGTGGTTAGAATGTTCATAGTGTATTCATAAATGCTACACATAGGAAACAGCCCCCGTGCTTCTTGCTGGAGAATGGGTAGAGCCACTGTGGTGTGTTCATACTGTGGAGGCTGGAGAGCAGTAAAGACAAGTAGCGCTCCTGTACGAAAAAAAGTGGGTGCAGAAGCCGGACTCGAGAGCACATGCTGTTGGTACCCAGAGGCACTGAGGGCAGGGACTCCGCAATGGCCAGAAGGCAAAAACCACCCAAGTGTCCATCAACAGATGACTGGATAAACAATAAGACGATGCATAGACAATGGAATATTACTCAACCTCCAAAAAGAATGCAGGTCTGATTCATATTACATGTGGTAGACCTTGTCTGCGTGATGGTAATTAAAATAAGCCCCTTCTAAAAGAACAAATGTTATAGGATTTGACTTATATGACATATTTAGGATCAGTTAATTAAAAAGTAATCACTTAAAATGACTACATAAATAGAGAATTATTGTTAGGAGTATAGAATTTGTTTGAGGTGATGAAAAATTTCTAGAAATGGATAGTGGTGATGGTTGCACAACACTGATTGTACTTAGTGCCAATGAGTTGTACTCTTAAAGTGGTAAGTTTTATAATATCTGTGTTTACCACAATAAAAAATAAACATAAAGGAGCTAAAAAATTATTTTCAAAACAGAAAAAGAATAGGTAAATTCATAGAACCAGAAATTAGACTAGAGATTACCAATGGCCAGGGGAGGAGGGAGTAGGGGAGTTACTACTTAATGGTTACAGAATTATGGTTGTGGTGATGAGAAAATGTTGGAAATAAGTCATGGTGATGGTTGTACAGCATTGTGACTAATTAATGCCACTGAGTTGTATACTTTAACATGGTTAAAATGGCAAGTTTTATGTTACATATATTTTTTGTCAAAACCATCGAATTATGTACTTTAAATCAGTGAGTTCTGAGGTATATGAATTATATCCCAATAAAATTATTTTGTTTTAAAGAAACAAATTAGGGTCTGAAAGATGTGCAGGGACAACAGTAATTTTTTGAGTAAAATCTCCCTGTCCACCCTCCCCCACTTATGCTGAGAAAAAGGAAGTCAGGGTAGGACTGAAAAAGGAAAGAACTTACAGCCTTGTACTCTCCTATGCCTGGAACTGTTGAGCCCAAAATGCTGCAGCCCAGCTGCCTCCTGGCCCCAGGCTCAACGCAGAATAAGACCCAGAGCCTAAGCCCTGAGCCAAGACAGGGGCTTAGTGAGTCCGAATGATTGCCTCCTCACATGAGGGTACAGATGAAAAGGAGGGCTCCCTCTCTCCAGAAAAAGCATGAGGTGTTCTTCAGTCACCACACACTGTGTCTTTTATGTACAAGATCAGTGTACCGCCCCCTCCCCCAAATAACTGTAACTTATGAAGTAGCAAAAACAAAAAGGGAGTCATATTTTGGAAATAGCAAGAAATAAACTATCGATGACCCAGACAATTGGGACTATCAGGCAAAGACTTTAAAACAGCTATTGTACTCCAGATTTACAAGAAAATAAAGGGATGTTTGATTAGGAATCTCAGCAAAGGGGATAGAAAGCAGTGGTCTGTATCTGAAGTTGACATCTAGTACCTGAAATACGTGATTAGGCAGGTTAACAGCAGAGTGACTACCACAGAAGAACAGGGCATTTGAAGACATGTCAACAGAAATTATCTAGCATGAAGCTCAGAGAGACTGGGGGAAAAAAAAAAGAACATAGAGGCAACAGTATCAGGCAGTCCAGTGTGTCTGTAATCAGAGTCCCAGAGAAGAGAAGACAGAATAGGACAGAAAAAAAATATTTGAAGAAACTATGGCCAATCTTTTCCAAATTTGTTGAAAAATAGGAATCCACAAATCTAAGAAACTGCGAATCCCAAACAGAATAAATACCAGAAAACCACACCTAGACACATCATAGTTAAGCGTCTGAAAAACAATTTTTAAATTTGAAAGCAGCTAAAGAAAAAGAGGACATATAGGGAAACAATGGATCGTGTGGCTTTGACGAGATACGAAATGTATGACAACCGTAGCAGCAGTGCCTTTGCGACCTCGGAGTAGGCCAGTGGCTCTCCAGCAGCACCAGCTCGCCCCCAGGGGAATTTCACAAGCACAGTGTCTGGGCATGTTTGGTGCTCATGAGTGGGGGAGTCTCCTGGCATCTAGCGATGCTGCTCAACACCCCACAGCCTCCAGAACAAGGAATTACCCAGCCCAGATGTCAGCAGCGCCATGTGAGAAGCCATGGGTAGACAAAAATTTCTTAGATCACAGAACACACTAACCATAAAAGAAGAAAATGGAAAAACTGGACTTCAATAAAATTACAAACTAATGCTCATCAAAAGACTTGCCATAAAAAGGAAAAGGCAGGGCATAGACAGGAAGAAAATATAGTAGGTTTACAGTTTTCCATACGGAAAATAATACACTAATTAATAAATAATACAAGAATAAACTTTCACGTACTCACAACTGTAAAATTACTTTTGCCCCACCCATGTGTAAAGAACTATAAGTCAAAAATAAAAAAGACAGCCCAGTTTTAAAAATAAACAAAATACTTGGACAGATACTTTACAAAAGAGGGTATGTGAGTGGCCCATAAGCACATGAACACTAGCTCAGCATTGTTAGTCATCAGAGAAATGCAAATTAAAACCAAGTGGGACACTCCCTCACACCCGCTAGAATGATTGAAATTTAAGAACAAACAATCGCATGTGGAAGAGCGCTAGAGCAGCTAGCTCTCCGAGTGCATTGCTGTGGGAGTGTGAAACCGCGTGGTCACTGGAGAGTCATCTGGCAGGTCCTTCATAAGTTAAATGTACACTGGTGTTATGGTTTAGCCATCCAGTCCTAGGTATTTACCCAAAAGGAAAGAAAATACATGTTCACAAGAAGGCTTGTATAAGAATGTCCATCCGTGGCAGCTTTGTTTATGATGATGGCCCACACCTTGAGACAGCCCAGCTGTCCTCCCCCGGAGGCAGCAGCACTGCGTCCTCACCGGAGCGCTCAGCTGCAGAGCGGGGAGGACTATGCGTGCGGCAGCGTGGGTGAACCTCAGGAGAATATGCTGATTCCAGCCAGGTCAGCTGGGCAAGAAGAGGACCTCACAGGCATCCAGACTGGAAAGGCAGCAGGAGAGCCATGGCAGATCATTCGCTGGGGAAATCCTAAGGAATCCAGTGCAAAACTATTCGGACTAATAAGTGGGCTCAGTGAGCGTGTAGGACACAAGATCAATATATAAAAATCAGTTATTTTCCATATACTTGCATAGGACCATCTAAAAATTAAGAAAATTCCATTTCCAATAGCATCAAAAATTAAAATATTTAAAAATAAATTCAACAAAAGAAGTGCAAAACCTATTCTGAATATTATAAAACGTTGTTTAAAGGCATTCACAATGATATAAGTAAATGGAAGAACATCCCGTGATCGTGGATCAGAAGAGTTAATATTGTTGCAGTGACAGTGCTTAGCGAGTAGATAGAACCACAGCTGGCCGGATTACCAGTCACCAGGAATTCCGTGTAAGACAGACCCAGGTGCCTGTTTCATAGAGGAATTCGGCCTTTATTTATTAACACTTTAATTTCAGGTTGTTTCAAAGACTGCGAAAAGAATAAAGCAGGGCAGCGAATCAGGAAAGACGGTTTGGAAATGTCTTCTTGAAGAATTCTCATGAATGTCTCTTACATTTGTTTCTTCGAATTAGAATCAAATCATGTCCACACATTGAGATTGGTTTATAGGTCTCGTAAGTCTCTTTCCCTTTGATTTTTCCTCATAATTCAGTGGTTGACGAAGCAGGTCTGTGTCCTCGAGTCCCCTGTGGTCTGGTTGCTGCTCTTCCCCAAGCAGAGCCTCCAGCCCCTGCTCCTCTGCCTCTGCTGCGGCCTGTGGAGTGGTGCTGGGTCTGGGGCCTGATGAGATTCAGGTTGGATTCTTTTCGCATTTGAGGCTGGATCTTGAACACTAACTCTCTACTTCATGATATAAAGGAATTGTTCGTTTTTTAGACATGATGGTATTATGGTTATGGTTTATGTTTTACAGATTTATGTAGGAAAATCAGTAGATGAAATGATACCGGGTTTTCTTCATACTAATGAAGGATGAGGGGAAGTAAAAGGAGGTATAGGGAAAACTCAGGTGGCTCTGAGTTCATTGTTGAAGCTGGGCGATGGGTATATGGAGGGTTCAGTATACTCTTCTGTCTGATTTTTGTATGTGTTTGAGAGTTTCCATAATTTAAAGTTTTAAAAGAAATTATTTTTAGCAATTAAAATGCATTGGATTCTCTCTAACCCAATTATGAGGATGTAATAACTGTCCATTCACTCGAAATGCCAAGGGAATGAATGAGCTAGGAAGAGTAGTTTATTGCCCTTATTTCGTAAGGGGGCCTTGTGCACCACTCCACCTGCTTGGGAGGGGCCCTGCAAGGTTCCTGAGACAAGCAACCCAGTTCTAAAAGCCCATCGTATTCTACATTATCAGCCAAGGGGGTCATCTCACACTTAGCTCTAATATTAATGGTCCCTCAGATCTGGCACTGGTCCTTCTAGAACCAATTTCCAGACAGAAATGAAGTGCGGTGCCTGACACAGCTTTGAGTCAGCGCACCCTAAGTTAGTGTCCTCGCGTGCAGGATCTGCGCACTTGGACAGAATTCAGCTGTGGTCGTCATTTCAACAATGGAGCTAATTTAAGCCTGTCCCTGCAGCACTGGGAAAGTCATTATGAAATACAAGTGCTCAAACTGAGAAAAGACAGCGTAGTCACTGAGCAGCAGTTGCTGATGAGTTCTGCCAAACATGAGAGGAATCGAAATAAGGTGCCAGGATAGCCTAGAAATGTTTCCACACCTTTTCACATGGGGGAACGCTCGGGGGTGGTGTTCCTGCCTCTGGCATCGTGTCAGCAGAGACCGCAGGCAGCAGGGCAGAGACCTTTAAAGTTCCCACCCAGCGTGGCTCAGTGGTTGAGTGTCGACCTATGAACCAAGAGGTTATAGTTTGATTCCCGGTCAGGGCACATGCCCACGTTGTGAGCTCCATCCCCAGTGCGGGGCCTGCAGGAGGCAGCCGATCAGTGATTCTCTCTGATCATTGATGTTTTTGTCTCTCTCTCCCTCTTCCTTCCTCTCTCTGAAATCAACCAGTAAATATAGAGAGAAAAATTAAAGTTCCCACCCACCGTAAGTCATGTTTTCAGGGGCCCGCGAGTGTGGACCAGCTGAGCACTTGATGTGCAGGAAGGCCCTGTGCCAGAGCCCAGCTTCTCTGTGGTGGCGAGAGCATCCGCACCAGAACTAATCAGACCTCGGCTGCTTTTCCGTTCATGCCAGCTGTGAGCGCCTCCTGTCCGCGGATGTGGCCTGCCGCTCGGTGACCTCTCACCCTGCCTGCTTCCTGCCCCTTTTGTTTTTCAGCAGTCGCCGTCCTCCAGTGGCAGCGTGTTCGGGTCTGGCAGCGCTGGAAGAGGGGGAGGTTTCTTCAGTGGCCTCGGAGGGAAACCCAGCCAGGACGCAGCCAACAAAAACCCATTCAGCTCGGCCAGCGGGGGCTTCGGATCCACAGCCGCCCCAAGTAAGTGGAGAAAGTTCTCCCAACCCCACCACCCCAAATGCCAGTGCCATCCTCCTGGTGTTATCAATGCTTCGCTGACAAGTATAGGACGGAAAGGTCTAGAAGGGCCTTTTAAAATACCTTACCCCCATGGCTTCTTGGCCTTTTACCTAAGATCAAGTGTAAAATATCTACCCCAAGGCAGTGTGATCTGTTGGATTTTGGTGTTTATTTTTAGTTTTTTAATGACATGTCCTATATAATCATGGAAAGACATCAGAGCTGCAGGGAGAGGGTTGAATTGAATTAGATTGAAATGACTTGGGATGGATGCGGGCAGACAGGCCTAAGTGCGAGCGGCCGAGCACGCTGGGTGTGCTGGGGGCGGGCACGTCTGGGTCTTCATTTGTGTCACACTCTGAATTGACTCTCAATCCAGCTGCTGTCAGAAGTGTCGCCCGACAGTGGAAGCCTTCGTTGCTTCTTTGTCTTATTTCAAGTGAAGCCGCATCTTTCTGCTGGCACTTCCTTCTCCAGCTCATTGTTAAAGCACTTTATTGATCTGTCTCTTCATGGTTGGAAATGAAAGAAATTTATTTGTTTAAATCTCCATCCTGCTGCTGATGGGGCTGAGAGGGGAGGTTGGGAACCTGTCCTCTTTGTCTTAGCTTCGCTCATGCAATATGCCATACAGAAGGCTCCTCTGTGAACCGAGAGCGCATGCCCCATGGACAGAACAGATACTTCCTCAGTGCCTTCAGCTCCTGTAGCTAAAACAAAACTCCCGAGTCCCGTGGAGTCCCAGATCTGTTATTTTGAGGTCGCTGTCCGACTGGTAGTATAAAAAGAGAGATCATGGTCAAGCGACACGTACCGTACCTTTTCATCTGTGACATTATGTCATTGGAGGTTTGGTTCTGCAGCCTGCAGTCTGCCAGGAAGAATTTAGAATCCTAGAATGAAGAGCTTTTAGAAATCGAGTCTAGTAGCTTTCAAAAACTGATTCTGCAGATGAACTCGTACACAGAATCCTGACTTGCAAGACAGATGAAACTAGCTTGCTCAGAAGTGGTGGTTGGAACCAGAGCCACACGCGGGTGTTCCCCCTTCCCCAGCTGTCACAGAGCTCAGGGCTCCCTGCACAGACTGAAAGCATGGTCCTTGCACGGCACTCTCCCTTTCCCAATCAGAACAAGCTCAGAGTGGCTCAGTGATTTCTTTGTTTTGGGTTTTGTTTTTTAAATATATTTTCATTGATTTCAGAGAGGAAGGGAGAGGGTGACAGAAACATCAATGATGAGAGAGAATCATTGATTGGCTGCCTCCTGTACACTCCCCACTGGGGATCAAGCCCTCAGCCTGGGCATGTGCCCTGACCAGGAATTGAACCGTGACCTCCTGGTTCATAGGTCGACACTCAAGCACTGAGCCACACCTGCCGGGGGTTTTTTGGTCACAAAGCCAGAAAGTGGCAGGTCTGGAATTCAGCTACATCTTACACAACGTGCCAGACAGCCTCTGGCACAGAACAGGCCCTTGGTAACATGCTGGTTAGAAATGTGGCTTTACCCTGTAGGTAGGTTATCTCCTGTGGGATTGTGTTACTAGCCTATTGCGTTAAAATGTAGGCTGGTCATATCCTTGTAAAAATTCCTTTCCTTCTGGCTGATTCATCTCTTAATGCCACAGCTCTTACCTGTCAAAGGATTGCCTTCTCCCTGGGGGCTGGGCCGGCTCAGGAGAGCCCGCTGTGCAACCTCTCGCAGCTCCACGCTCGGCGACAGCAGGGAGTGTTTGTTTACAGTGCAGACTGGACGGTGGCTCCCCCAGCCTGTTGTTCACTGGCACGCCTTGTTTCTAATTCGGTAATTCTGGTTTAAAATAAGCGCATCTATTCTTGGCACCAGACACCTGCTGGTCTTCAGCTCCTGACCGTGGGCAGGTGTTACCCAGCAGCTTACTTGTGTGCCTCAGGGAAGTGTAAGTGCATCTGACAGGGTACAGGAACGACTTAACTTTTTTTTGCTTTTAAAAACTAAGTGTGGGATTGGATGGGGATAGGGACAGGAGCCTCTGTCGCCCCGAGGACCAAGTACAGGATAAGAGGCCCCAGAACTAAGGAAGCTGCTGCAGATCGCCTGGGCGACTGCAACACTAGACACTTCTGAGCACCACTTCCTCCCTGGGCCGTGGACGGCGGTCCAGGCTCTCCCTGCCTCTCAGACAGCCCTTTCCCTTTCCTTCGGTCTCTCTGTCATTGTGGGGTGTGTTCCCCATCGTCCTAGGTATTACAGTAGCCTCCAAACGCCCCTGCTTCCAGTCTCCCCCACTGGGGTCTGGAAATCCTTACCAGAGAGAGTGGCTTAAGATTCCGCTCTTATTTTGCCACGATCCCTACTCAAACCCTTTGGCAGCATCCCGCCGACAATAGTATAAAACCCAGCTCCTTCGGCTGAACTGCAGGGCTCCTTGAGCTGGCTCCAACATGCTTTTCTTTTTTCTTAAAAAAAAAAAAAAAAAATTAAGTGATTTTTTTTGAGAGAGAGAGATTTGTTGTTCCACTTATTCCTGCATTCATTGGTTGCTTCTTGTATGTGCCCTGACGGGGGATCAAACCCATAACCGTGGGATATCAGGATGACGCTCTAATTAACTGAGCTCTCCGGCCAGAGCCCCAACATAGTATTCTGACTTCGATTCAGTTCCCCCAACACATTCTCCCTGCTACTCCCTCCACGCACCTGAACCTGCCCGTCCTTTAAGGGTGAATGTAAGTCCCTTCCTGTGGGCAGCGTGGCCTCAGGGTCACAGGGGCCCGCAGTGCCTCTCCCTGTCGGAATCCTGGGGCCCTCGTGTTCTGTTCCTTGACGAGACATGGAGCAGAAGGGAAGTGACCTTTATTGATCACCTGCTGGGTCTCTGGTCTGGTCACTTCTTACAACAGGACTTTTAGATGTGGCCGTCTCCATTTTGGATGCGGACTTAGGGAGTAACAGTGGCAGAGCCAGAGTTCAGTCTAGATGTGTTTCCAGGGCTCTCCTCCATCACGTTGCCTCCTGGGCTCTGGCTGGCCTGGCAGTGTGACGTCAGCCCTCCCAGGTGTGCTCGTTGCTCCTGGCATCACACATTCCCCTGCAGACACAGTATCTGAGCACACATCGAGCTTCCAGCAGTTCCCTGTGTGACATCAGGGTCAGCCCTCAGGAGAGACCGGAATGCGCGATGACTGAGAAAGATGAGCTGTGAGCACCGCGTGCCGAGGCCCCGCTCTGTACAGGCTTCTTCCTGTCTTCCCCAGAGACAGGACCAGGGCACGCTGAACCCTGGGGTCATTTCCATCCACCCACGTGGCTTGTTGCCTGTGAGGACCGACTGCCTCCCGAGTATGTCTGAGGACATGGATGGCGCCGTCCTCAGCACCTTTCTTTCTGTCCAGGGGCCTGGGAGGCTCCTGTGAGGATGAAGAAGCTGATGAGAATCTGTTGGGCGCACAAGGCTCCCTGCACACCTGTCTCTGAAGAAAACATCCTGAAAAGTGTCCTGGGCAGGTGCTTCTCCAGTCCCTTTCTCAGTGCGTGTTGTCCTCGTGAGTGCCCGGAGCCCTGCAGGGTGGACGGGGCCTGGTCTCTGCGATGAGACTGACATGGTGATGTTAGGTGATGCTAGTATTTTTGCCAAATCAAAGACCAGTGAGGATCGGTGTGCCCGCAGCGGGGGCGGGGCTCAGTGCAGACGCCCGTTTCACCTGCACTGCCTTCCCCTCGCCTGCCTCTCCCCTCCAGCTGGTCGTCCAGTGGCTCCGCGGAGAGCAGTTTCTTACTGGCTAGCTTCCTCACAGGAACCTTACAGGGAAACGCTGTCCCAACAACCAGGAGAGTCTCTACCACATTTTCAGGAACTAGAGACTCTAATTTGGGAGCCATAGGAGACAGCGGAGAGACACGTAGGCCACAGAAACAGCAGCAGGTGTTGGTTCTGCCGCTTTGTGTCAGAGCAGCTCAAATAATTCCCAAAAATTCCCTACACCGGGCTTCTTTGGAGACTGCAAATGACAGCTGCTACAACGTGCGGGTCGCATTCTCGTTATCTTCGCAAAATGGGAGGGATTCATGTTCCGCAGCTGACCTACTCTGTCTTACTGTATTGACCATGACTGGGTGTGGCCGGAGGAAGAGTCAGAGACGGGAAGTTGTACTGCCTGAGGATCTCATGTGCCAGACAAGGTGCCCTACGCACCCACCTCGTTAACTCCTCACCGCAGCTCTGCGTGTTCACAGCTGCTGTCCCCGTTTTCTGTGTGCGGGACGGGGGCGCAGGAAAATTCAGTCCTTGCCCAGCATCATAGCTATGAGGTACTCAAGCCAGATCTGAATGCAGAACTCGTGCTTGTTCCATTATAATGTGCTACGAACAACTAAAAGATGAAGGAGTCTTAAGGAGATAAGGAATAAAGAAGCCCAAACACGCCCTCTCTGGTTTGGCTCAGTGGATAGAGCATCAGCCTGCAGACCAAAGAGTCCCAGGTTTGATTTCGGTCAAGGGCATGTACCTTGGTTGCAGACTTCTTCCTGGCCTGGGACCCTGGTCAGGGCTCCTGCAGGAGGCAACCAATTGATGTGTTTCTCTCACATCGATGTTTCTCTCTGTCTCTCCTTCTCTCTTCCATTCTCTCTAAAAATCAATGGAAAAACATCCTCAGGTGAAGATTAAAAAAAAAAAAGCCCAAACACGTCTGAATGCTCTCTGGCCTCTCGGGAGTTTAAGTCTCCCAGCATTGTCCAGTAAAGTCATTTCACCTCTGTATTTGGAGTTTCTCCAAGAGGAGATCTAGCCCCTAACGTTGCATGTGTATTTGTTTGCTGTTTGAAATTTTGCATCGTTAGCACGAAGGTGGGAAATTGCAGTCCTCTGTTCTTGAAACACCACGTTAGAGGAATGACTGAGACACCTGTTTTCGTCTCCAGTGTCAAATGGACTGCCACTGAAGGAGTCAAAGGTGACCTCCCGTTAGCTCATCACGGGAAGGACCAGACTGTTCGAGGGGACTTCCGCGTGGGATAAATAACCCTTGAACCCCCGAGAGGGTCAACACTCCCACTGTCAGGGCCCAGCTCTCAAACTGTCAGCAGCAGTTTCAGAGAGCCAGTGACCATGTGGCCTGAGGCTCTGTTATCGGTGCCTGGAAATTTGAGCTGGCCGTGTCCCTGAGGTAAGGCTGCTCACTTCCTTATAATTGAAGCATCAACAGTCGAATCTCACACGGTGGGATCAGCAGCAGAGCGTGATGAGGGCCTTAGGTTGACAGGTTAGTGGTGGACTGCCTCTTTAGGCAGCTGACTTTGAGTGTGAAGGACTGCTCTCCACCCCCTCCCTTCCATCACCTTCACTGAGCTCCTGACTGGGGGAAGCCTGGCGTCATGAAGCTGTTTGTACTTCTCACGTGTGGGCATAGACTTGGCTCTCCTTTACCCACCAGAGCTTGTCATTGCAGCCTATTTATGCCTCTGCCTTTGGGCATCGACCTCATTTCAGGATAGCTTCTCCCTGCCTTCTGTGGGTACAAACTCATTTTATTTTTTACTAGAGGCCTGGTGCACGAATTTTTGCACAGGTGGGGTCTGGCCGTCCCATCCCGATGGGAGCCGATCGGGCTGGACCGGCGGCAGGGGGGAGGGGATGTGGGAGGTGGGCCAGCAGTGGGGGGTGGGGGGTGCAGGATGTCGGCTGGACCCGCCCCTGATGGGGGGTTGATCAGGGGAGGGACCACGGGAAGTTGGGGGTTGCCGATAGGGACCCCATCCAGCCGGTTGGCCACCACAGTGTGCATCATATTGTCCGCCCGTTCTGCCATTCGGGTCGCTTGGCTTTAATATATATAGATTATTATTATTATTATTATTATTATTACTAATCCTCACCCGAGAATATTTTTCCCATTGATTGAGAGAAACACATCAATTGGTTCCCTCCTGCACAAGTTCCAACCAGAGCCCAGGAAAGGGAGGAGCCTATAACCAAGGTACATGCCCTTGACCAGAATAGAACCCGGGACCCTTTGGTCTGCAGGCCAATGCTCTATTCACTGAGCCAAACCGGCTAGGGCTACAAACTCATTTTAATGAAACACCCATCTATATGTGGTGGGGAAACGAACAAATACTTCTCACCCATCTTGGTTTTAGTAGTTAGTTTCCTTTCATTGTTGGAGCAGACTCGATGTGTATTTGAAGGAGTGACCCACTAGATAGGCATCTGGAACTTAGTTGAACTTCTGAGAAAGAGGAAATCAGACTGGAAGTCTTGCTGGCCTCTTTTCCGGTCTCAGAACATCCCTGGCTCTCGTCAGATCAGAGGTCGGAGCCCCGGAGGTTTTGTTTGTCCGCTGTTCTCTGAGCAGACTGGGCAGCAGCCAGCGTGCCAGACTTGACAGTGAAAGCTGCGCTGGAGCCATGTGCTTGGTGTGGATGTGCTCAGATGGCATTCTGGCGTGAGGCTGCGCTGTTGGTCCCCATGGCGGGCGGGCCAGGACCTGCGGGAGCGCAGATGAGTTTCTGTGCCTGAGAACTGAGTCGGGAAATTCTGAGCCTGGACACCCACGTAATTAAATCCGGCCTCCAAGACCCATGCAAATCGGAGAAGGCGTTCATTGCTCTTCCTGCTCACTTCTCCCTGCTCCCAAAACACCCAGCTGAGGTTCCTTCCTTCTCTGGTGAGAAGTAATTGAGGACATTCTCCTCCCTCTCACCTCCCTACACATGTCTTTCATTTCGTCAGATACCTCTAACCTGTTCGGAAACAGTGGGGCCAAGACGTTTGGTGGCTTTGCCAGCTCGTCGTTTGGAGAGCAGAAACCTGCTGGCACCTTCAGCGCTGGAGGAGGAAGCGTGGCATCCCAAGGCTTCGGGTTCTCCTCTCCAAATAAGACAGGTACTGCGGTCCTGCCCGCTGAGGTTGCGTCATATGAGCTCAGATGCAGAGATGCTGGAAGGAGGGAGCTCTCTGGAGAGGTTCTCGAGGGAGTGGGATTGGCGCGTGGATGAAATGACTCCCACTTTATTTGTATTTTTATTGAGCATCTACTATGTTCCTCACACTGTTCTAGGTCTCCTGAGAAATGTTAAACAGCACAGAATGCATATTCTGTAACCCTTAAGAGAACTTAGAGTCTTCTTGGGGAAGAAAACTTAAACATTTAGCAAGTGCAGGATGACCAAAGTAAGGGAACACAGAAGAAAGTGATCCCTAAAATGTAAACATGAAAGTGTCCTGAGTCGCTCATTTTCTTGGTGCCCATTGCCTGTCGCAGGCCGAACAGACTATTTAACTTCTGTCCGTATCATTTTGCCTTCTTTCCCAAGTCACTTGTTTTTTTGTTTTTAATTGAGTATAATAAACAAGTACATTAGATATACACTACATGTACATATACAATATCAAATATTCACATATCATGAGTTAATTTTCACAGTTGGAAAATACCCATGTAATCGAGAATAAAGAACATTGCCAGCACTACTTCTTATCCCAGCATTACTTTTACAGTATACATTTGTGAATGGTGACTTTTTATAATCATGCATTGCATTTACAATTAAATTTTTAAAGAACATTGTATATTTAGACACAAAAACATACTTCGTTTCTGTCAGCTGCCTCCTCTGTCCCATTTCTGTTTCTGAGATCTGCATGGGTCTGCCTTCCTGCCCCTGTTGCATGGACAGTTGTGTGAAAGGATTTGTTTTAAGACTCAAGGCAAAGGAGGGATGTTTGCTGAGAAAGCGGTTCCTTCAAGCAGGCTCCCAGGGGTGAGCGGCAGGACACTCCCTTGCTCGGATGTGTGGGAGATTGAAATTCCGCCAGTGCCAGGAGAAGGTCCCACCTGGGGACCAGATGTGTAGGTGGCTCAGGATCCCACCTGCAGACCAGATGTGAAGGTGGCTCAGGATCCCATCTGGGGACCAGACGGGTAGGTGGCTCAGGATCCCACCTAGGGACCAGATGTGTAGGTGGCTCAGGAACCCACCTGGGGACCAGATGTGTAGGTGGCTCAGGAACCCACCTGGGGACCAGATGTGTAGGTGGCTTAGGATCCCACCTGGGGACCAGATGTGTAGGTGGCTCAGGATCCCACCTGCGGACCAGATGTGTAGGTGGCTTAGGATCCCACCTGGGGACCAGATGTGTAGGTGGCTTAGGATCCCACCTGCGGACCAGATGTGTAGGTGGCTCAGGATCCCACCTGGGGACCAGATGTGTAGGTGGCTCAGGATCCCACCTGGGGACCAGATGCATAGGTGGCTCTGACTCAGGACCGCCCCCATTAGCATCTGGAATCCACCGCTTGGAGCACAGTCGCTGTGGTTTCCATAATGCTCTGTGCACTTTCCTCAGGCCTGTGGCCTGGCAGGTTTGTCTGGTGGCCAGTTTTGGATGCTCTTTTCCTAGAATTTAAGATGGACAAGAAATGGGCATTGCAGCTCTATTTTGCCCCAACGCGGAAGTGAATGATTGAAAAATGAAAGGGCTACAAACTCATTCCTCATTAACCAGGCAAATACTATGTGACTAAGAGATTTTAGTTCATTAATTATCAAGACTGTTTTTTTTTAGGGAACCTGATAATGTTTTCTTTGGTATGTTTTTCTTATATATTGTCTCTTATCCTGGGATCAGGTTGTTGATTGGAGAATCTGATGCTTTTAATTTTTCAATCTTAAAGAAAATGTACCTCCCTTTCAGAATATTTTTTCTACTTGATTTTTTGCCCCATGAAACCACCTAGTTCGAGGACTGGAACAGAGAAAGCCACCAGGCAGATACATGAGCTGAATGAGCGCGTGACCAGGAAGGGAAAGTGCGGGTGGGAAAGCCTGCTCTCCTGCTTCGGGACTTCGGGAGCTGCATCCGTTTCAGGAGCTGCTTCTGTAGGAGAGGTGCCTCCGAACATCGGCGAGGCTGCTTTCTGCCAGGGGGCCAGCCTTTCTCTCTAAGAGGGACTTGACTGCTGGTTTGAAGGCATCTCTGAAAAATTCCAAAAGTGCCCATCCTCCTGCCAAACGATTGCATTCGGAACTGTGCTGCTGGAGATACTGGCGGGGAGGACAGGAGGAGGGACAGGCTGAAAATGACCGGGCTGCCACCCCAGTCCATGGGGCTCACCCCGCTGCTCCCGTGCCAGAGTTGCTGGGTTAGTGGCAGTGGGGGGAAGGGGGGCGCACATACTGGTTAGATGCTAGGTGGTCTTTGAGTCACTCAGCCTTGTTCTAGTCCCAGCTGCACCATTTACCTGCTGGCTAGACGCAGACACGGGACATGTCTTCACAGCCTCAGTTTGCTCACCTGTGAAGTAGGGATTCCAGGTTTTTGGGGTGGATTACAGCAGACTGTTCTACAGCAGCTGGCATGTGAAGGGCCATCAGTAAACCAGATATTTCAGTGTCATTGATTATTAGTACATTTCTGTTTCTTCAGGGGAAGAAAATTGTGAGAATAAGGCATCTAATAAAATCAAACCCCGCGAGTCGATCTTCAGAAATAAGACCAGGATGACTGTTCTCTTCCTGGCGCACTTAGCCGTGACCCGGGCGTGGGGAAGTGTGTGCGCTTGTGCTGGTGTGTGTTCATCTCCTCCTCTCCCCCTGCAGTTTACTTTCTGTATCATTGTGACTTCTCATTTTTCACTCCCCTTCCACCAAGAAGCCGGCATAATATGGAGTGCAAGGCACTAGACCCAGCCCCCAGCATGTGTCTAGGAAGAGAGTGTAACTGGATCTGTGGTCAGTCCTAAATAATTCAGCGGCAGGGTTTTTAGGCTTTTTCTTTTCCAGTCTATTATATTTGTAACCCAACAGTGCCCATTAGGATAGCTTGGAATTTCACTCAAGGTTTTAAAAGTCCGAATGTTAACCCAAACGTGAGCCTTAGCAAAAAGTTCATCTCAGTGGTGCAGCCACTACAAATGGCCCACCGGCACTTAACGGCGGAAAGAACAGCGAGCTAGACCTGCAGCTGGCCGGCCCTCCCGGTCCAGGGGCAGAGGCTTGTGGTGGGATTCAGGCCAGGCTGACCCTCTCGGCAGGTGCGCTGTGGGCTTCACTTTCTGAAAGAGGCGGGAAGAAGCCAGGTCCCCTCAGGCTGCTTGTGCCTCGGCTGCCATCATTCCTTTCAGCGTGTGGCTCCAGGTCAATACTCATTTTAAGAAATATTCCCCCTTAAGGCACGTTTCTTGTACTATTTTGTTCATTTCATTCAGCAGACTCTCACTGAGGGTCTCTGGATAGCCAAGAAGGATTTCAACAGTGTCTCGGGGATTGGGGACCCTGCCCGGGCAGAAAGGACAGTCAGGGAAGGACAGTCCTCTTCCCGCCTGCTGGCATCTCGGCCAGCCCAGCGGCCACCCGGGCACGCCTGACCCTTTTCTGTGCGGAGGCCGCCCGCCAGCCTGTGTTCCGTGAGCACAGACCGGGCCTGTGAAGGGGGCCCTGCGCGGATGCTTAGCCGCTCACTCTGCTGGGCCGGCTGGCCGTGTGAGCACAGCTGGACACTGTGACCACTGTCATGCAGCAGCCCTCCTCCCGGGAAGAAATGCGGGGTGCTGCTTTATGGGGGAGTAGTTCCTGACCCCAGAGAGGAAGCATTTCAAAAATTCTTCTGGACACACAGAGAGAGAAAGACGGTGGTGAGAGACGGGAGAGCCATTAGCTGTAAATAAATAAAAGGCCTGGCTGAGCGCCAGCTCCGAGCCACTCACCTCGGCTGTCGCCCATTCGTTCTCCCTGAGAGGGACTCGAGCATCCGAGGCTGTGCCTCGCCTGCGGTGCTGAGTGATAACCTGTCTGTCATCTCTGGCCGCGGGGCAGGCATTGAAGTTTCTGAGGACGGTTTTACCCTGAGGAGTCTCAACACAGTGCAGCCCAGCAGGAAGGGACCGGAAATGCGCCATGTTGGTTCCGGGTGTCGATCTGATTTGACAAGACTTGGAGCCGACAGGCCCAGCTTACCTCTGGGAGGGACCGGGGAGCTCAAGGCAAATAGGGGGTCTGCGGGGTTCTTAGAATTCCAGGGAGCTCTCCCGAGTGGACCCCGGACCTCTGCTCGAGCTGGAGGGAGGCGGCTTGGTGGCTGGGTTTGCTTTGGGTTTAATTGGTATTTTGCTGCTAGAAGGGGTGTTGCCCTTTGCTGGAGGTCTTTGTGTTTGGATTCTAACGTATTTTCCCTTTTTTCTTCCTCTTTTGATTTGGTTTCTCACTGCTCATTGTCTTCTCTTCCTGTCTCCTCCTTTCTCCCTGTTCTGTTTGTTTGCCTCTGTTTTGCTCAGGTGGCTTCGGTGCTGCTCCAGTGTTTGGCAGCCCTCCTACTTTTGGGGGATCCCCTGGGTTTGGAGGGGTGCCAGCATTCGGTTCAGCCCCAGCCTTTACAAGCCCTCTGGGCTCGACGGGAGGCAAAGTGTTCGGAGAGGGTACTGCGGCTGCCAGCGCAGGAGGATTCGGGTAAGCCCCCAGGGAGGGGACCCAGGGACCCCACAAGCTCAGGCCGAGCCACCGTGTGGAGCAGGGCTAACGGGGGCCGGCTGAAGGTTTCCAGTGTGACGTCCCCGAGGAGCCATGGCCGTGCCCTTGGTGCGGGCCCTGGTCTCTGGCCCCACACACGTCGGAGGAGTCCTCGCTGCCGCTTGAGAAAGGCCCTCCCCGCGGTGGGAGTGGGCAGTGAGGACAGGGACACCTCACCTCGGCGTGAGAAGTAGACAGGGTCAGGGTCCAGGGAGTAGGCGAATAAATGGGGCGGGGATGTCGATAAATGGGAAATGCTGAAATGGTGGAATAAAATTGAAGAATTATTGAAGACAGAAAGAGCAAAATATGTAGTACTGCTTCATTTCCAAGCGACCTGCAGTGTCCAGACGGGCACAGGACTCACTGGACAAGCTGGATTGCGTCTCGTGGGCCTGTCATTGTTCCCCGAAGCAGAGGTGGTTGCTCTGGGCTCTGGCTGCTGGTTCACACCAAGCACGCGCCCTCGATTCGCGTGTCGTGCAGCCTGAGACCACGAGGCTGCCTGAGGCTCGGCCGCAGGGGCAGCTGGCTCTGACTGTCGGTTCCTCCCTGGCCCAGGTTTGGCAGCAACAGCAGCACCACGTCCTTTGGCACCCTCGCTGGTCAGAACGCGCCCACCTTCGGGTCGCTGTCCCAGCAGACTTCAGGCTTCGGGACCCAGAGCGGGGGCTTCTCCGGCTTCGGATCGGGCACAGGAGGTAGGCAGACAGCAGATACCCCTCGCCCAAGAGATGAGCGGTTTACCCGGCTTTCGGCGTAGTGTTGTCAAAGCTGGAAGTGCTTGAGGGGCAGGGTGTGGGGGCTTTTGATTTTCAGAACGTTGTTTTCTAGGTTTAAAGTAGACTTATAACATTGTGTCATTTTTTACTAAATATTTCTCAAGATTTGAGAACGCAAGATAATAATCATCTCACTAGATACTGGTTCAGAAATCCAAGCCAGCAAACAAACAATAAGGTGTAGAGACCTTATTCACAAAACGCCTTTCATTTCGTTTACGCCCTGCTGCTTCAGGACTGGAGCGTCCATGCTCTGCTTCTGTCTGTGCCACACACTGCGGCTCAGAAGCCGGCACCCTTACTCTTGTGCAGATAAGACACAAAACTCCAGGGGCCACTTGCCCAGGCCCCCCGGGCCTGCTTCTCTGGCCTCACGGAGAGGAGGAAGCAAGTGGGTGGGAATGGAGAGAAAGCACACTTTCCTAACAAAATGGGTCTGTGTGTCACGGTGGGGCCACGTGAGGGGGCCCGACCAGAGACCCTCTGCCCACCCCGGCGGGGAGGAGGGAGGAGCCCTGGGGACATGAGCCAGCCCACCTTCCTGCCCGGCCTGCAGGAGGCATTCCGTGGGGGTGAAGGGAGGGGGTCTGGCCGAGGGTCCACCTTGGTCTTTCAAGTGTATGTGTGTTTTAACTTCCCGCTGTCCATCTTTTCCAGGATTCAGCTTTGGATCATCGAACTCGTAAGTATCTTCAGTTTTGAGTCATTAAATAGGATGGAAAAGTGTGTGGCCTGGGAAAATACTGGACCACTCAGTTTGCTCTGTGTGTACTCTCTTCCTGTTTAAAAGCTTATCCTGGAAGCATGGGGCTCTGCAGCAGGTTTGGGCTTTTGTGGATTTGCCCATCTTGGCAGGGATGTGGCAGGAGGTGCCAGGTCGTGCCTTGTCCAGGGCCATGTGCAAGAGCGGGAGGGGCCTTCCGGTCAGCAGAGCCTGGAAGGCAGGACTGGGTGCCAGGCCCAGTAGCCTTATTTTGTGATCATCACTCTGCTTTGGTGGAGAATTGGATGACAGTGAAAATTCAGGGCCTGGACTTGGCACACAGGCAGTCGCATGCCGGAAGCTGACCTGCCTCCCTGCCCTTCTTTGCAGGTCTGTCCAGGGCTTTGGTGGCTGGAGAAGCTGAGTGGGTGTCGTGCTCCTTTCGGTTCCGTGACCATCGGCGTTCTCAGCTCCTCGTCACTGAGCAGCAGTCCTGAAAGCGGACATTCTCGTTGGCACACCCAGACAGAAACAGCTCGGCAGATGCGCGTGGTCTTTATTTCATGTTGCTTATTCCCCCTCTGCCCCTGTTATTAAACTGTTTGGCTTGTTTGCATACAAAATGTAAGTGGGGGTTTTTTGTCTTCATTTTTTAAAATATATTTTTATTGATTTCAGAGAGGAAGGGAGAGAGAGAGAGAGAGAGAGAGAAATATCAATGATGAGAGAGAATCATTGATCGGCTGCCTCTTGCACGCCCCCCACTGGGGATCGAGCCCACAACCTGGGCATGTGCTGTTACCTCCTGGTTCATAAGTTGATGCTCAGCCACTGAGCCATACCCACTGGGCTGTAAGTGGGTTTTTCAGGTCACAGCCAAGGACAGAGGTCTCCTTGTTTCTGTGGCTCTGAGAAGCTGGTGCACCTTCCCTTGGCCAGCAGGACGTCTTCAAGGACAAGCACGGGTGTCAGCCAGTCTCCCCGTCTGCTCAGACCCAGGGCTCCGCACAGGAAAGAGACTGATGGCCGCTTGTCACCTTCCAAGGCAATAACTCGTATCCTCTTGTGTCCTTTTTGCTGTTGGGTATCGGGACCCTCGGTGCCAGCTTTTTGGGTGGCGGGGAGAAACTCACGCAGGCGCCAGCAGAGTTTCAGAAGAGGTCGTAGCCCCTTAGAGGTTAGGTAGCCGGGAGGCAAACCTGGAACAGACCAGTGGTGCTGATGCCCGCGGGGCTGTCCTTGGAGCAGGCCCAGCTCATCTCATTGGCCCTTAGCGCCGTGTGTCCACAGCTGATGTCTTCTGCTCCGGAGGAGAGGCAGGCGGGTGATTGAGAAGACAGCCTTTATCTCCGTAAGTGACGGTGACATTGGTCCACACACTGGCCCACTGTTAACCACAGGGCGGTGACCCTGCGCGGCCCGGGGTCAAGGAGACGTGCTACTTCCTGGTGTCACAGCAGAGTGTTGGCAAGGCCAGCCCAGAGGTCCGACCTTCAGTCTCCACAGTGCCTGTCGGGCGGGGTCTCAGGTCTGGGCTATTTCCTTTCTTAGGCGGCGATATTGCGGTGGCTGACAAGGGCCCCCTCACAGCAAAGTAGGTGTGGGATCCTGTTATCTGTCCGCCCAGAACATGCCGCGCTTCATCTGTGGTTGTTAGCAGGGAGCATTGGAAAGGACAGTTGTTCATCTTACACGCTGGGAAACTAAAATGCTGAAATGTTTTACTAACGGTTCACGTTGGGGAAGGTGAGGCTCACCGAGGCCCGTGAGCGCAGCCTGGCTGCTGGTCCTGCTCTGCTGTGGGGTCTGACCCCACGACGGCACTGGGCGCCGAGTGCAGGCTGTTCCCGCCCGCAGAGGAGTGCGGTGCGCCCAGGGCCCCGGGGGACGCAGCCTGCTCTGTGGGGGTCTGTCCCCACTGCCATCACCTAGGGCAGTGATGGCGAACCTTTTGAGCTCGGCGTGTCAGCATTTTGAAAAACCCTAACTTAACTCTGGTGCCGTGTCACATATAGAAATTTTTTTATATTTGCAATCATAGTAAAACAAAGACTTATATTTTTGATATTTATTTTATATATTTAAATGCCATTTAACAAAGAAAAATCAACCAAAAAAATGAGTTCGCGTGTCATAGGTTCGCCATCACTGACCTAGGGCATCTGCCTCATTCAAAGAGCGTGACCTCCGGAGTTTAGCGCGTGCCCTTTCGGTCCGTGTGGAACTGAAGAGCCTGCCCCCACCTGTTCTCACGAGGCCCTGCAGCCACGGAGCAGGGGGCAGTGCCTGGGACGCGCACAGCCAGGCACGGGCTGTTCCTCCACGTGGAGCTCCCTAGTCTACACAGGAGCTGTCCTGAGACAAAGGGACTTGAATTTTGATGGGCAGCTCATGATGAGGCCGCGCTTGAAAGGGAGCACTGTGACTGGTGCCTTCTGCCTCGGTGTGTCGTCCTGTCGACCGACACGCAGGCCGAGCCAGTCTCCTGCCTGTCTGTCTCCCCCGGAGGCGCTTTTTTATAAATAGAAGCTGGTTCGGCTTAAACCCTTGACCTCAAATTCTCTGCCTTAATCCTCCATCGAGGTGGCATGTGGCAGTGCTCCACAGGCCGTATCAGCTGTGCGCGGCCGATAACGCCCAGCACGCACCGTCGGCGGGGAATGCGGTGCTGGCGTGGGAGCCCTCTCCGCTCCTTTTTTGGGGTCGATTACACTAGTAGGTGGCAGGGGTCATCTCAGAGCGCAGCCAGCCTGCAGCCCCTGAAACCCAAGCTTCTGGGTGTGGGCCGGGAATGCGCTGCGGCTCCAGCCTGCCCGGGAGGAGCCTTTCCCTGAGGGGGTGGGCAGGGCTGGGGTGAGTTGGGGCTGGGCCCCAGTAAGGAGAAGGGACCACAGCTGCTCAGGGCCGCAGTCACAGTTGGCTTCGCTATGTCTCTTGAGTAACTCGGGAAAGGCAGGAAGGAAAGGGGGTGGCGGCTTAAGGAGCTGGTGGTTTTGCTTGGCTTTTCTAGATGTAAACGTTGTGTGTTCATAATCGGTGCCTCTGATGGCAGGACAGAGGCCAGGAGTCGGGTTTCCCAGGCACAGGAAGAGCCCACATGACACATGGGCGTGGTCATGTCCCCTTCGTGCCGATGCACCTGCGGCGGTTCCCTTGGCCTGGCCCAGCCCGCTGGGATTGGCCTGCTGCATGCCTTCAGTTCTGCTTTCTCCAGAGGCGTTTCAGGTCAGGCCTTCCGGGAAGGACATGCAGCTGCCGCAGATCCTACCCCTCAGTAGCTCTGAGACAGAACCAGGCACTGGGCCTCCTCCTGTGAGGGCTTTTCCCTCGGGGTGAGATGGAGACTGGAGCACAGCCGGGCAGGGTGAGGGTGGGGGTGAGGGTGGGCAAGGTGAGCATCTGGCCCCATGTGCGTGGGTTCACGCTTTACGGGACCTTGCCCTGCATCTGGGGCAAACAGCCTTGGGGGCATCTTCCCCCTGGTGGTGGGCCCCTTGTCCAACACAGAGCCCGTGGTGAGGGGTCAGCCCTGGCCGCAGCGATGACGCAGGAGCGCTCACGTCTGGGGTTCTGATTCAGCGACACTGGGTGGGGCCCTCAAATCTGTGTGTGTGACCAGCTTTGCAGGTGATTCTGGTGCAGATGGTCCAGGGTCACACTGTGAGGCCTTGACCACAGTCACTGACTCCATCCCCCGATTCTGAGAGTCGGACACCCATGGACATAATTATTTTGCCACTAACCCAGGGAAGGGACCTTCCTGAAACTTAAGTGGGACACAGAGTTTCACTTCAGCTGCCCTTGGGCACCTGCTCAAGAACATAGGTGAAGCACAGGTGGCTGTCCCCTCCTGCCCTTCAGACAGCTCTGCAGGCCTCCTGGGAAGTGTCCCCACCCTGGCCAGCCTCCGTCCCTCGGGACAGTCCTGTGGGGGGAGGAGTGACCCTGTGTCCGCCAGCCTGGCTCCCAGTCCTCCCCCCAACCCCAGGTTTGTCTGCTCGTGGGCTCCCGTCCACAGTTCCCCACGGACACCTGACTGGTGCTGTCGGCATCTGCTGGTTCTTACACCCCTCGTTCCTGTTGCACGGAGAGCAGAGGCGCTGCTCTCCCTCCTTCCTCGCCCTGGTTGTTCCTTCATCGCTCACGTGTGGACAGAGCAGTTGGCCTGAGGTGGTTTTAGCCCTAACCCTGGCTGGCTTCAGTGTTTCCTACGGGAGTTTATTCTGAGCCAGAACGAATGGGCTCCCTGGTCTCACACAAGTTGAGGAAAGAACGGACAGAACAAGAATTAATAGCTCTTTACTGAAGACTCCTTAGAGTCTTTAATATTCATGTGTGCTTTGTCAATCAGTGAAGGGAAGTCGCTGCCATTTCCAAATCATTCTGACCTTGGAACCGTCCTGCTGGCACCAGGTTCCTCGGGAACGGCTTGTCGCTGGGCAGAAGCACCGCTTCCTCCCGCAGGCTGTGTCTAGCACATCCCTCCCTGTGCCATCCACCCTGGGGCAGCGCGGGTGTGAACTGCGCGGGCCCACTCACACGCGGAGTCCAGTGGCCCACGCAGTTCAGCCGTGTACGGGTCAGCCGTGTTTTTGAGCCTCAGTTGGGAATCTGCGGATCTGGGGGCTGACTTCAGTGGCGGCCGTGGTCGCACCCCGAGCCCGCGTGCTCGATTACAATAGTGGCGGTTCACTGGGTGATCCTTCGTGACAGTTACTGTCCATCCTAAGTGCTCTCGGACATTTTCACATTCGACCTACGAGCGAGATGCCATAACCCACATCTTCCGTGAGCACGGGAGGCTGAGAGAATGAGCGGTTTACCGAGTCTCAAGCCAGGTAGTGGTGGAGCCAGAGGGAGCCCGGGCTGTGCCACACCCTGCCCTCTGCTAGGCCGGCCACCCCGCCTTCCCCAAGGTCATCATTCGTCTTAGAAGAAATACCGGGCCACTGGCACCCGGGACCCTGCTGAGCCCTCACCACACAGCTGTCCTGTCCACCCCGTGAAAGTGAGCTGACTGTGGACTCGGACCACAGCAAACGTTCCGCCCATCGTGTAGTTTTTGGCTCCAGCCTTGTACGTGGTCATCGTCTGTCTAAACCGCAACCCCAGGAGGGAGGGGCAGCGGCTGAGTCTGTGTAGCGACGTGGGGTGGGCACGCCCCACACACAGATGGGCCTGCCAGCTTTCCGGTGAGGGGATAGGGTCTGGAGGAAGCAGCTGGCTGCACGCCCTCGGCCGTCTAATCCCCTCCTTCCTCTGCTCTCTTCCGGGGTCTGGCTTGAGGTTTTCCAGTCCCACAGGAGGTCAGACCCACTGCGCCATTGTTCAGCCCCACTCTGCTTATAAATAGAACCCCGTCCATTCCGCAGCCCTGGCCGGAGATTCTCCACATTGTTGTCAGCCCTGGACCGCCAGCTGCGAAGAAAGGGCCTCCGTGGGGGAGGGGCGGCAGGCGGGGCCGGCAGCACGCTGCAGTGGTGCCCAGCTCCCCTCGCTTGTCCCTCCAGCACTGTCCGCCGTCTCCTTGTGGCCGGATCAGAAGCAGAAGTGCTTCCCAACCCTCCGAGGCTGTGACAGCCGTGCCTAGGCTGGGCCGTCCACCTGGGAATCCTCACCATGGCCTGCGGGTCACGTGCGGTCCCCCTGCCTCACCTGCCCCCTCTCGCCGTACTCTCCAGTCCCTGGGCACTTGCTCTGCTCCTCCAGTGGCCTGTCTGGCCTCGGCCCAGTGCCCCGCACGCGCCCCTGCTCATCCTGCAGTCAGTGTAGATCACTCCCTTGCCCACCGCCCCCCTGAGCTGCCTGCCCTGCTCGGCTCCAGCAGCTCCAGTCCGTTCTCCCGCCTCTTATGTGTGTGACTGGTTGTTTGATTTGTTTGTCTGATCTGCCCCTCCCCCCAGACAGTCAGCTCCATGAGGGCAGGCACCACGTCAGCCTTGTCTCTCAGCCCTGGTGGCGCCAGGACAGCAAGAGGCAGGACCTGTGGGATAGATGCCCCCCTAGAATGACTACCCAGACCCCCGCCCTGGCCGGAGTTTCTCAGTGGTTAGTGTCGGCCTGGGCACAGGAGGGTCATGGGTTCGATTCCCAGTCAAGCGCACATATCTGGGTTGCAGGTTCAATCCCCACCCCTAATCTGGGTGCATGTGGGAGGCAATTGATCAATGTCTCTCACATCCATGTCTCTCTCTCCCCCACGCCCCTCCCTTCACTCTCTCTAATAATCAATGGGAAATATATCCTCACTCCTTGGTAGAAGATTTTTTTTAAAATATATATTTTTATTGATTTCAGGAAGGAAGGGAAAGGGAGAGAAACATCAATGATGAGAGAGAATCATTGATGTGC